GCAAAGCTGAGTACATAAGCGTGATTAGCACACACTAACATGCTTTCATCCTATCAACATACAACTTACCTCGATGCACCTATTTACAAGCACACAACATTCATCATTTGACTCGACTACTGACTAATATTTATTTAATTTTTTATTACACATCGAACGGGTTTCCAACCAACTACCTGCCTCAAATAAATTGAGGTAAACTACCCCGGGAGCTAACCGAGTAGGCAAATGTCACATGAAGTGACTGGATCCTGCGCATAATAAATAATAAAAATAGAAAGTACAGCGTCCTGTACCCCTAGTAGGAGTTATGGTCAAATATAAAGTCGCATAACCCCCCCCCCCATATGTTCATACTCAAGGTATATACGTTCCAAGAGTTTTGGTGTGTAATCTCTTTCACTTTACGTGATTTACAAATTATTAGACTTGGTGATTACTCTCAAACACAACACAACTAAACATTACAATTCACTCAATCAATCAAACAACCAATTTAATTCTTGAATATTTAGTGACCATATAAATTTAGTGTGGAATCCTTTTTAAACTACCTCGGTGTTAAATAACACCTTAAGTGCATAAGGCACCGCAAATCCTATCCCTCGGTGTTAGAAACACCTTAAGTGCACATAGGCACCGCAATATAATTTATCCATGTGTACTAAGACACTTAATTAGCTCTTTCCTCATGCTTATAGCATCAACAAAAATTATATGAACCATAATAAAATTCCTCTTCCATAATCCAAACCCAGATAAACATCCAGTTTAACCAAACATGTTTTCTAACATGCCAATAATAAAAGTATGGTTCAATATCAACATGCCAATATAATTAATTCCAATCACCAAATTCACCATAAATAAATCATACATCACCAATCATTCACCAACATCAATCCAATCAACAAATTCCATCCAATACCTATCATGATACTACTTGGAATTAATTTAACAAAGCCTAGCATGCTCCAATACACTTAAACTTTACCAAGTACTCGAACGTACCTCGAATACACTCTCAAAATAGCCACGATTACACAAAGTCACTCACTTGGAAGTCTCCTACAAACCACAATTATAAAGGAGTATTAACACCCTTCTAACACAAAATTCCAGCAATTTATACTCTCTTTAAATCACTCAAAAACCCCTTTAAAATAATCTGAATTTTTATTTAAAACCCTTACTTTATTCCCAATTAAATGGGTAATTAAAGATCTTTTCAAGAAACTCAAATTAGACTTATATATAAAAATTCCAGCATTATTAAAACTTATAAAATTTCTGTAATTTGGTTTAAAAACAATAATTTAATAATTTTAATCAACCACAATCAAATTCCATCCATAAACATTAATTTAAAAACCTAGGGTTTCCAATCTTGGGGCTTTTTAATTAAAAATCAAAATCTGAAAATTATAATTAAAATACTTTTTATTAAACATCCTAAGAATTATCACAAAACCCAAAAACAACAATTGAATTTAGGGTAGATTTAATTAAAATAAGAAAAACAACATATATCTTTCGTTAAAATTAAAAACTGCCCGAAAACCATATTTAAAGGCTGAATTTGGCCACGAAAGGGTGGTACTCAACCATAGGTAGTGAATTTTTTTTAGAATATTGTTTACACACGAAAAACACTATTTTTTTGTAAAAATCGGACGAGTTTGAATTTAATCGTGGTTACATCGAGATTAAGAAAATTACGAACGGAGAATACGCAACATGCAACCACCTTGCCGCCGCTGCCACGCTGCCTGGTGGCTGCTGCCACCGGCAAAGGTTGGTGGTGGTGGCCGGCGTGTGTGGTGGTGGTGTGTGGTGTGTGGTGTGTGGTGGTGGTGTAAAAATAAATAATTAAATTAATTAAGTAAAGGGAAAGGGGAAAATTAAGGGGAAAAATAAAATAAGAGGAGAGAGAGAAAATTTACCTTTGGGTGAACTCCACCCTAGGCACATAAGGGGTATTTAAACCCTCTCTTAATCCTCCTACTTACTTCCCTTAATAATCTCTTTCCTAATCAAATTAGGATTTGACTTTCTTTAAAACTTTGACTTTAAAACTATTTAATATAAAATAATGTGCCCCAATATTTTAAATCATAAAATCCAATATTTTCAAGATTATTAAATAATAAAATATATTTTTAATTAAAATCATTCTTTTTGTATTGAAGAAACCCTAAATAATTTATTTCATATTGTTTAAATACTTCAAGAAATACTCATTTAAATTTAAAATACGTATAAAAATACGGGGTATTACATCTTCGCATCCCCCCTTGGAAATCTATAACATAAGCCCTCAACATGTCTTCCAAGGTTTGAATGGTTCTCTCAGTTTGCCCAACTATGGCAAGGTGAAATGATGTACTCATCTTAAGTGTTGTACCAAAGTTTTCTTACACACTCTTCTAGAACCTTGTAAGAAACCTAGAATCTCTGTCATACACAATATCTTTTGGAGCTCCATGTAATCTCACCACATTTTTTATGTAAGCTTTTCTAAGTTGCTCCATCTTCCAAGTCTCCCTCATTGGTATAAAAACTGCAGATTTTGTAAGCTTATCCACCACTACCCAAATGGTGTCATTTCCACTCTTTGACTTTGGGTGGCAATTCACAAAGTCCATTAAAATACAGACCCATTTCCATCCACGAATTTCCAATGATTACACAGTTCCTTGCGGTCTTTCGTGTTCTATCTTCACTTTTTGACAAGTTAGACATTTTGCCACAAATTCCGCAACCTCATTCTTCATTTTGGGCCACCAATACATCTTTTTTAGATCTTTATTTAGCTTGTCCCCTCTTGGGTGTACTAAATACGGTGTGTTGTGGCCTTCTTCCATCAACTTTCTCTTTACCTCCTCACATTTTTGTGGTACACACCAACGACCCTTGTACCTTAAACTCCCATCTTCATGAATTTTGAAATATGTAGCTTCCCTTGCTTTATTTTCTCACGAATCCTATCCAACTTTACATCTCCTCCTTGATTTTCCCTTATCTCATCAAATATTGTTGGTTGAATACTTAGGTTCGCAAGTATGCCTGCTGGCACTCCCCATTCTACCACTTCTAGATTCATTTTCCTCATTTCTCTACATAACTCATCAGCCACTATCAAAGTATTCAGTCCATGTCTTGTCATACGACTTAGAGAATCTGCGACTACATTTGGTTTCCCCTCATGATATTGTATGTCTAAGTCATAATCTGTCGTATATTCTAACCATCTCCTTTGACGTGAGTTTAAATCCCTTTGAATGAAAATGTATTTCAAACTCTTATGGTCAGTATAAATCCTACATTTCACTCCATACAAGTAGTGTCTCCAAATCTTTAGTGCATAAATGATTGCAGCTAGTTCTAAGTCATAAGTAGGGTAATTTACTTCATGAGTTTTCAACAGTCTTGATGCATACAAAATTACCTTCCCATTTTGCATAAGTACACATCCTAGACCATTCTTAGATGCGTCACTATATACATCATAAATTCCACTATCGTCTAGTAGTGTAAGCACTGGCGCTGTAATTAGCTTTTGTTTCAAGAGTTGGAATGCTTCCTCACACTTGTCATCCCATTCAAAATTCTTGTCCTCCCTCATTAGAGAGGTCATAGGTTTAGAAATCTTCGAGAAATCTTTCACAAAACGCCTATAATACCCTGCTAAACCTAGAAACTTCTAACGTCAGACACCGTTTTTGGCGTAGACCAACCTTTAACTGCCTTAATCTTTGCTGGATCTACTTCTACCCCATCTTTTGTCACAAAATGACCTAGAAATGTCACTTTCTCCAACCAAAACTCACACTTAGAGAACTTTGCGTAAAGCTTGTTTTCCCTTAGTGTTTGCAGAATTGCCCTCAAATGTTCTACATGTTCTTCTTTACTCTTCGAATACACCAGTATATCATCTATGAACACCACCACAAACTTGTCCATAAATGGATGAAACACCCTATTCATCAAATCCATAAAGATTGCAGGAGCATTCGTCAATCCAAATGTCATTACTGTGAACTCATAATGTCCATACCTTGTTCTAAATGCAGTCTTGGGAATTCCTTCATCTGCAATCCTAAGTTGATGGTAACCAAACCTTACATCAATCTTAGTTCTCAACTGGTCAAATAGGTCATCAATCCTTGGTAATGGGTACTTGTTCTTTATGGTGACCTTATTTAACTCCCTATAGTCAATATATAACCTCATACTTCCATCTTTCTTCTTCACAAATAACATTGGCGCTCCCCAAGGTGATGCACTTGGTCTTATGTATCCCTTTTCTAACAAATCATGCAATTGCTCCTTTAACTCACTCATCTCTGCAAGTACCATTCAATATGGTGCCTTGGAGATTGGCGTTGTTCCTTAAACTAGCTCTATTGTGAAATCAATTGCTCTTTTGGAAACACATCTAGAAACTCATTTACAACTTCTATATCTTCAAGCTTAGTTGTCTCTTCATGTTCCATATTCCTCACACTACACAAATACACTGGATGCCCCTTCTTGATATACATGGCCAATTTTAACACAGATATGATCCTTGGGCATTTGGTTTCACCATGCATCCAATATGTCACCTGCTCATTATTAGTTGTAGTCATTTTTACTTTCTATGATTGACAACTAATCTCTGCGCTGAACTTGCCCAACCGATCCATTCCCAAAATGACATCTTTAAAGGTCTTGTTACACTTTACTACCCCACCCGTAGGAATAACTATAGGCAAATCTACTTCATCTACGGTTTTCAAACAGTTTGATAACTTTGAAACAATGGCCTTTGAAATGAAAGAAAAAGTTACACCAGAATCAAACAAGACTTTAACAGGAATAGAGTTCATAGAAAAGGTACCAGTGATGACATCCTTCGTGGAATCAACTTCATGCCTACTCATCACATTCAATTTCCCTGGAGCGCCACTCTTCACCTGATTTCCTCCATTATAACTATTGTTGCCCTTCGCTCCATTCTATTGCGCCCCCTTATTTCTTGAATAGTTGTTGCTTCCCTGGAAGTTTCTCTGAGCCCCACCTTGATTATTGCCCTGTTTGTTTTGATTGGGATCCTTGGAGAAACATTCATACTTCCTGTGTCCTAACTTGTTGCAAGTACGACAGGTAACCAAATTTCCATCACAATCTTTACCAGGGTGATCGTTTTTACACCTCTTGCAGTAGAAATGCCTTGCTCCCCTGTTATTTCCCTGGGTAAATTTCTTAGCTCCACCATTAAAGTTTCGTCCTCTGTGACGATTGTTGCCTTGGAAATTATTGTTGTTGTGGAAGTTGTTGTTATTATGGCGGTACTTCTGTTTCTTGAAGTTGTTTTGGTTACCTTGCGGGTTTCCAGAGTTCTGTCTCATCTATTTTCTCTTTTCCTTTCTTTCCACCTCAGCTATCTCTTTCCTTTTCTTTAATTCTAAGGCATATAGGTGTGCAACTCTCCCATACACTTCATCCAAGGTTTCAAATACTTGTCCACATAGCTTTAACTACAAATTAGTAGTCAGTCCACTCTCAAACTTCCTCGCCTTAGACTTTTCTATAGAAACAGACTCTTTAGCAAATCGTGACAACTCAATAAACTTTTGTGTAGTATTCAGTGACCGACATATTCCCCATTGCAAGGTTAGAAAATTCCTCAGCTTCTTGTTTTTGTAAGAAGCTAGGATAAACCTTGTCCCTAACCTTCTCCTGAAACATAGTCCAATTGAATCCATGTAGTGCCTTAATGGTAGCTTCATTTTGTTGCCACCAAAGGTCAGCTTCACCCCTGAGTTAATAGGTAGCACAACCTACTTTTGAGCTCTCTAGACACCCTACTTCCCTAAACAGTTTCTCAAACTCCCTCAACCAGTTTTCTAGTACGGTTGGATCAGGCTCTCCTTGATAGGTTGGTGGCTTGCTCTGCGCCACCTTCTTAAATAGCTCTCCCTAAGCATCTACATTATTGGTTGAGTTCCTTGCTAATTGTTAGGCAACAGCTACCAACTTCCTTACAACTTCACTCAGTTCTCCTCCATCGTTATTGTTACCACTCCCTCCTGTCATCCTTCTTCGCCTGAATTCAAACAAAGGGGTCTTTATTAAATACGGTCTTAGCTAGCTCTCAACTTAGACACCCATCTAACTAGTTAATACCCTTGAAGCATACACATTAAATTTTAAGCTAACAAATTGGGATTGCAAAAGTTAAAATTCCCAAAATTTGCAACTTGGCCAACCAAATATTGATTGCTAACCAACCACACATTTAATAAAGCATCACATTAATAAATAAAAATAATTCTCATGGATTCCCAGAGTTTAGAAATGCATTGTTGGAATATTTGTGAGTAAGAAATGGCTTCTTGGAGTAGTGATACGAAATGAATGATTTGGGAACGAAATGAATGATTTGTCAATAAAATGAGTTAATTGACAAGGAAATAAATGAAATTTTATTGCCGAGTAAGAAAATGAATGGAATACTGAAATAAAATGGGTTCAAATAACTTATGCAACTACATAAGTTTACTGACTCACTGTGGACATACCACATATTGCTTTACTGCAACTGAAATAATTGAAATGCGGAAACGGATCTAAGAATCCTAAAAGAACTGAAACTACAAAAATCTAGTCCTTTCGAACATTATCCTTCTTGTAGGTAGATTGCTTATAGCTTCCAGGATCAAATTCAGGGTCATCTGCTTCCTCCATTGGTTCAGGTGACTCTGGTTCTTGCTCTACTTGGACAAACTCTTCATCTTCCTCATCGTCAGATGAAATATCAATTATAATTGGAGTTGGAGGTGGATTTGGATTTGGAATTCCATAATGGGACTATCAACAGTATGGTTACTCTCATCCATCATCTCTCCTTCTTCCTGCCCTCCATCTGACCCTGCTTGATTACCCTGAGTGGGAGAAGAACTTCCTGACTGATGACTAGTGGAAGGGGAATTATTCCCTGCCGGATTATTATAGTAGTAGTTGGGATATGGAATGTGTAAGTGTTGGCAATGATCTTTCTCAACTCTAACGAGGTAAGAAATCAAGTGTCTGTAGTCAGGGTACCACTTTCCATAGAAATTTTTATATTTAGAGTAGTTTGGGATGTCCCCTAGTAAATAGAAGTCGAACTTTGAGTTAACGGCAAGATATGGGGGTTCATCTGGAAGATAGTGAATAATCATAGCAGAAACACGATCAGGAAGATCATAGTCTTGTCTCCTAAGACATCACTCATTTGGGAACAATAGAATTAGATTTTCTTGACATAATCAAACGGATGTTCATTGTCTTTCTTAACTAGAGTACCAATTTGGGAAAGTTTGCTAGGAAGAATCGGCAAGGAAAGGCTTAGAAAAGAATTCCCTTCCCAAAGAAAATAAAAACAATACAGTTCTTGCATGAATTAGGTTCAATGTTCAATCAAACAATCTTTCCTACCCAAGCTTTTAATTAATCAATCCACATGATCAAACATCAAAACCTAAAATATTAATGCATACAAGAACATGATTATTTCTAACTTGTATGCCCAAATTCTTTCCTACCCAAGCTCACCAACATGCTTTTAAAAGCTTTTAACACATAATACTTACCTTATTCCTTGCTTTCCTGCAAAATGAACAAACTAAAAAATAATTTTTGACTCCTCTTTTAAAATTAATTTTCGAAAATAAGCCCCGATAATGCCCAAAATATTCGACCAATCATAAAAATAAAAAAATTCGAACATCCAAAAAAAAATTTGGATGTAAAAAAAAAAAAAAAAAAAAAAAAAACGGACCTTTTTAAAAAAATAGATAAATTTTCCAATCCCAAAAAATTAAAATAATTGAAGATAACACTCTTTTAAAATAACTTAATTAAATAAGCACTTGGCCAACTTTATAACAAAACACTTTAAAACACGTTTTTGGCTTTAGTGGTAATAAAAATCTCAACCTGCCTCTGATACAACTTTGTAACACCCTAGAAATTCTTTTCCTTTAAAATACCTATTTTGCCCCTTTACAATACAAAATAGGAAGATCTAAGACATTACAGCCACCGTGAAAACGGCTAAGACAAATATCAAAGACACACACAGAGGAAAACTATCCTTAAAACCATTTAAAACAAGTCAACCCAAATATTCAAACCAAAAGAAAGTTAAGTCAACCTACAACTTGGAACCATTGTAGGCCCTTAAAACCAAACAATACTGAAAACCTTTACGTTAGTCTCATGAGCATAATAAAATAAATAATATTCAAAGCAAATAAAACACATCATAATCCTATGAGAACTAAGCATGATTCACTCTTCACTCATGCCCATCATGAAAATGCTTCATCATTTGAAAAACTTCTCTCTACTTGTCCCCACTACTCGTCAGTAGAAATGAGTCGTCGTAGGACCAAGATAAAGACAAGGTCAAATAAACACACAACACATAATCAGCAATGCTGAGCACATAAGCGTAATAAAAACACACTAACATGATTTCATCCTATCATCATACAACTTACCTTGTTGCACCTGTACACAAGCATACAACATGCCAAACGACCAACCAATAAATAAATAAATTGTTTATTTAATTTGATTACGCATCGAACGGATTTTCCACCAAATCTCAACCCCAAATAAATTGAGGTAAACTACACCGGGAGCTAACCGGGTAGGCAAATGTCACATGAAGTGACTAGACGTCCTGCGCGTAAAATAAATAAAAAGGAAAATACAGCGTCCTGTACTCCCATTAGAAGTCATGGTTAAATATAAAACCCCATAACTCCCCACATATGTTCATACTCAAGGTATATACGTTCCAAGAGTTTTGGTGCGTAATCTCTTTCACTTTACGTTACTTTACATATTATAATACTTGGTGATGACTCTCAAACCATAACACAATCAAACATACAAATTTAATTCTTGAATAATTAGTGACCACATAAATTTAATTGTTGATCCCTTTTTAATCAACCTCGGTGTCAAAAACACCTTAAACGCATAATACTCCACAAATCCTATCCCTCGGTGTTAAATAACACCTTAAGTGCGCATAGGCACCGCAATATAATTTATTCTTGTGTACTCTAAAAGATCATCTATGAAAGAGATCAAGCCTCGACGACCCTCAACACGAAGAAAAGAAGAACTCCAAAACATCAAGAACATCATCTGTCCAACTTCTACGTCAAATAACCTTTGATCGAGATCAAGCCTCGACGACCCTCAATCAAGACATCAAGTCAAGTCGTGAAGCAAGTCCAGCCCTGCATGAACAACTATGATCAAGATCAAGCTTCAACGACCCTCAATCAAGGATCCAACTCAATCCGTGAATTACGTCAAATTTGAAGTGGAGATCAAATCAGAGGAGTAAATTAGAGATTGTACCCAAAATTATCAAATTGATAAAAGTAACACTTTGTTTCATCTATTTTGCAAATTTAAAATTTTTGTTTACATAGGAGGGGTGTTATCCTTCTCCATTAATGCTGCCCTTGGAGCTTCAATTTTTGCCGCAAAAATACAAAAATCGCCATCTATAAAAATAAAGAAAAAGGACTTCGTACTGATGCCTACTTGCTGGTGGTTGCTGACAACAGGGCGTCACAGTGATGATGGTTGTGGTCGCTGCATGAGGGCATGAGGCTTGGTGTTTATGGTGATAGGTTTGCCATTTCAGTGGGAATGGTGATGATGATATGGCAATGGTGATTTAGCAATATTGCCTAATCATGTTAATGCATTTACCAAATTGTCCTACACTAATTGAAGAAAAAACCTAAAATGACCTTATGAATTATGATTTTTTTTTTTTTTTGATAAGAAAAATACAAAAGTTAGGTAAGTCTTCTCTCAAGACTATACCCTAACTTATCTAAAGAAATAAAATAAGAAAATTAGCATCTACATTAGGGTCAATGTTTACATAGCCTGAAATTTGATGACCTATAGTTGCAACATAATCTGCTGCACGATTAGCTTCTCGATACACATGGCAAGAAGCAACAACCTCGAAGTGAGCCAACAACTTCTTAACGTCATTCATTAGCAATTGAATTTTCCAAGGACAGCGTGCTTTATCCTGCAAAATATTTATAATTAAAAGGTTATCATCTTCAATAAAAAGTTTTCGTATATTATGTTCAATAGCTAAGAGAAGACTGTTACGCAGAGCTGTAGCTTCTGCAATAATAGGTATCGAGGTACCAAGATTATAAGCACGACTAACAACATTATTTCCTGTATAATCTCTAATAACAACTCCAGCTGACCCAAAGTTATAACAAACAGAACCATCAAAATTAATTTTGAAAACACCAGACAATGTTTGTTGATCTAGTATATCAACACGTATTTTCTCTTTTTTTTTTTT